GCAACTATTTCTTGATCATGGAAGTCAATGTTTGCCAGGGTGTACCAGGGCTCAATGAGAAATTATGGGCTTCGTAGGTGCTTGGTCGTACAGAACTTACTTGCGCGGCACAGCTTCTCTGCATCAAGGCACACCAGCAAAACGTGGTCAGCAATTCTAGGCTAGCTCGGAAGCGTTGTTGAATCCAGAGCAAAGCTGGCATGGGCTGCCAGAGAAGGTGCTTCCAGTGGTGGTGTGCTCAGCTTTTTTGGGCGGACTTGGTCAAAGTCCCGCGCTGAAAGATGTAAAGACTCATTGGCAAATTAAAGAACCTGAGCAATAGACTCGACAGCAATGACATTGGGCCATCTCATTCCAAACTCCAAGCTGCAAGGACTTAACAGTACACTGCAATAGGCTGGCACACAATACTTTGGGCTCTACAAATGATGAACATGTCCCACTACTTGGGGACTACAGCATGCGGCTGATACCCTCATAGAGCCTCAGGGAGATGCAAGTCCATGGCTATGTGTGTGCATATATGTATATATAACATGTATGTATCTCTCTCTCTGGGTGTGGGTACACACCACTTCCGGTTAAATTCCTCAGAATAGGGTCCAAGATAAACTTCTCAAATAGGATCCGCCATTTTTTGGGGACCCCACACAGCTGAGATGCCAAGCCTGACTTCGCACCAAAGACTAATCCTTTAAATCACAACCCTCAACCCCTTGCCCATCCCAAGATGCCAGCATAGTTGTATCTGTACCCCACTTCGCGGACAGACCCGTAGAGGCCGGCAACCTGCGCATGAAGTACCCATCGTGAAAAGACTTCGGACCATAAGGTATTCCTTTTTTGGTATTTCTTGGCTCGCTTCCATGTAGGCACTTGGAGCTTTGGTGCAGGCTTCAGGGGTTACCTCTTATCCTTATCTGCCCTGGAACTCTTGCAGAAATTGTATGTTCAGCTGCCTTAAGTGAGATAGACAAATATTCAAAACACTGTACTGTAGTCTGTCAGATTGAAGAGAGAGATGGACGCGTCCTGGTTGGGGCTGTGGGTTCCATGCTTCTGAGGCTTGAGAGCGTCCAGCTCAGGCTTTGTGAAGGTTGGCGTAGTTCCGCGCGTGTTTTGAAGCAAATTTGCCCCGTGAGCTAGGTATATGAGCCTGGGCATTGTTGACTGAGCAAAATGTGGAGCCGTCCCACATGCGGGGTTTCATCATAGACCAATCGTAGCTCCAAGTAAACCTCCATAATCCATGGTCGCCATGTTCACCACAGCCGTACATTCCTACGCCCAAAAAGTGGGATGTACAAGGGTGAGTGTCCTTCAAACAAACTCTTTCAAACAAACGCGCCTTAATGGGGTTCGACGCTTGTTGAGGGGAGGCGTGATGAAACCAAGAACCATCAAGAACACTGCTATGAAAAGTTCTACACGTCGCTGTAGATTTCGGTTTTCCCCCAATTCTGCTGGCAGCTTCGCCCTGAAACGCTGCACCCATGGCGCACAACCCTCGCCCAGAACGGAAAGGCTGAAACCTTTGAATACATCCTGAGCTTCAAGCTTGATGATCCAAAGATTCATCCCAAGTCCTCAACCAAGCGAAAAATCAACACTCTCAACCCTACAACCTGCACTCACAACCCCAAAACCAAATCCAAAACTCTGCCTGGCCTCTAGCTTCAAGTAGACACCGTAGCCGGCGAAGTCGGATGTGCGCTCAACAACAACTGCACCTGCGTCGGCATGAGGCCAATGATGGTGAGGAGTTGGGCCTTCAGGATTTGTGACATACTGTGTTTCAGTAGGGTGCACTGGGCTTCAGAAGCTATTAGGGCATCTGGGCATCTTGTCGGATACGAATCTATCTAGTACGGAGGTTTTCCACAGTTCAGTTATGTCACCCAGCTCCCTTTGTCCTGAGTCTTTCCCTGAGTGGGACAAGTTTTTGCCTGCATCTCTTGCTGCGAGCACAGTAAAGCAAAAATGCTAGCTTCAGCCCCCCAACCGCATTCGGTGAACATGGGCGTTGTCCTTGTGCGAATGACGTCCTGGTGCCTGTTTTCCGTGGGGCGAGGATAAGGCGGATACGGTTTTGAGCTATATTGCACAATCGTTACAACTTTTCAGCCTTGAACATTATTTTTTTGTGTAGCCGTTAGGTTAGGGGCTTCAGGCTCCAAGGTTTAGGGCTTCGGGATAGCTCAAGCACAATCATTCCTTTGCAGATGACACCAGCCCTTAGCAAAAACCATTGCAGCCTGGCACCCAAAAGGAACTTGTAGTTGCATAGGGGCCTCTACGTAGGTACCTGAACCCCCTGTTGTTTCGAGTGGCACCAACCCTACGTTCTCAAGCACCATCAGCGGGTAGCCTGGCAATGCGGTGTTGGGACTAGCTTTGCATTTGCAGGCTTTAAGTTGATGGGTTGCCTCCTCTCTGGAGCCCAAATCCTGTCCGATACCCTCAACTACTTGCAATCCCTAAACCCAAACATCCCAACATTGAACCACTCCAGAGTCCTTAGATCTCAAAACTCCAACCCGCCTGAGTTGGAGCTGTCCCGAACCTCAAATGTCCAGCGCGGATCCCCTGCCCCGTTCAAGCGGCGTTTGGGGCTTAGGGATCAGGAAGTTGACGGATTAGGGTTTGGTCGGTTAGCTTCAAAATTTACGGAGTTAAAGAGCCTGCGAGTTTGGCTCGGCTAGAGATATGAATAATTAGGGGATCACCCTCCGCAAAACTAGCTCGGAAACCAATAGATAGGTGCCCTGTGAACCGAACCGTAATTGAATGGGCTTCCAAGCCTCGCAAAACATACCAGTGCCATCCCTGTGACTCCTGGGATGAACTCGGGCCCGCAAATTCAGATAGGCCTTGGGGCTCGCGAATTTGGAGTCATGAGTTGTAGGATCCAGGCCTTGAGGCTCTGGGTTGAAGTTGAGTTTAAGGTTGCCTTGTAGGATCTTCAAGCGTTGGGCGGCCTCTGGCTGAAGGTGCGTTGAAGCCATTGCCAGAGCAGTTTCGTCCGGGTCGTTATAAGGCATATTCGTCCTAACACGAGCTGCCAGCACACCGCGCGTCATTTCTGTGCATTCCCCCGCTGATACTTGGCCGACTTGTCTGCTTTGGCCCTCAAGAAGGGTTTCTTCCTAATCCACAGGGTAGCGTTGCCAACATCATCCTGAAAGAAGGAGTCTGGGGGTCTTTGCCGAATGCGCTCCACTTGCCGAAGCCTATTGTTTGAGGCGGCCTTACAAGTGCTCCCTGCACCCACTGGAAGAACTCCGCAGTGGCTCGACAAGTTGTAGATATGCTGCTTCATCAAGACTGCAATCATCATTCAGCAGCGTGCCGTCCAGTCGCAGCTGAAATTTTGCGTGTCCACGAACTACCGGCAAGTGCCTCCTCAGATCAGGAACATGCGACCCCTCACGCGTGTCACACGTCCCGAACTTCGCCCGCTGGATGCCGACGACGGTCTTGCCCGAGACCATGCGAACATGGAGCATGCTTTTGTTTAGCCAATGATGGTTGAAGAGTGTTGTTTGATTTGGTGTTGTCTTGAGCTGAAGAATTGCTATAATTGCTGTTGTCTGTGGTTCTGATTCCGGAACACCCGAACTGCATCCAGCAACACCCTTCGACTGCCGCAGTGATTGCTGTCAAGGCTTCAACCACTCAACTTCCAAATGCTCACTCCTCCCCCTCCGCGCACCTTCTTCTGGCGGCTGGCTGTTGATCAAGCCAAGACGAAACCGTAGCTGGGAGCCTGTAGCAGGGGGTTTCAAAGACTGGGAATTCCACTTGGGGGGTGCCTCTATGTGCCTCGACTACAGGCAAAAGAGCCTGGTTGCGAGTGAACGATGGGATCCTAATTTTAGCATCACTGTTCCCTGTCTGCCGGTTACCCAAATAATGTTGGCGCTTGAGGTTCAAAGTTTTGCCAGGGAATGGAGTTCGTGGTTCAGGCGTTTAGGGGTTAGGGTTTGGACTACACTTCGATTACTTAATGCCTACGAACCTGGAGCCGACTTGGAAGGCAAATGGGCTTCTTGTGCAACACTACTGGCAAATCAGCACACATTACTACAACGATGAATGATAATTAACTCAGTTACAAATGCCCTTACAATTCATGTTTGATCCCTACACGCACGTAGGTCCCTCAAGTTCGTCCTGTGAACTGCAGTACAAGTTAGGATCTGTCCTCCGAGTGGACACCCCGCGAAAACCCGCCAACATTCCATGCGATTCTTTGTACGCTCACACAACGCCATAATAATACAAAACGCCGCATGCGCAGTCAGAGGTTCGATCAACATGGATGAGGATTTACCTGGAGTAACATATGGCCACGAAAGAAAAAGTGCGTACCGAGTTGTTGGGTATCTTTACCATGCTTTACAGGAACAAATTCCAAGTCCGTGTAGGTGGGGGTTGAGGATGTACTACTCCTCACAAAGAACTGCAATATCCGCAGCTGAAACCACTACTCAAATGTCCTGTGCAGCCTCTGACCCTCACCCAAAGAGGCCTGTATCTTGATCCTATAGGGCCCCCAACTATTTATAATTGACTTGCGGGCTCAAAGTAGGTACGATTCATCGTTATCTTCAGAGCTCAATGAAAGTATCATTAATGGGCGACAATGCCCCCAGGATTAGTGAAGCTGAAAATGGCACATTCTTGCGCGCAAGATCGGCTCTGAGGTACATGTTAAGGCAGGCTCAGAGCTTCATGTCTTTTTCCGTGCGCGCATGCCATCTGAAGACTCCGCCGTGGTCCTTGCACCAAGTGCGCCAATCTTGCTAGGGAGTATGTGCAGGTTATGGCGGTATCCCATGCAGTCCTACGAAAAAGCATCACTTCCTCTAGCTAAGCCTCCTCAAAATTACGTGCCTTGTGTGGGCCAATACGGTATTCGTGCACCCTGGACCACCTCCTCACACCTATGACTGCAAAGAAATTGATTTGCTGGTGCTTGGGCTCCCCCAGCACAACTCCTTCCTCCAGGTGCTTTGGGACGCAGGAGGAGCTCCCGAAACCACTGGGCCTGCACTCTTGTAGCCGGGCGTCTTGGAGGCCTAAGGGGCCTAAAGTCGATGATTAGTGTCAACTTTCGGGCTAAAGGTTTCAGATTTAGGCTTCTGGGCTAAGGAGTGACATAGCATGGCCATGGAAGTTTTTCCCGACAGTGGTTGATAGTGGTGATGATTGTGTTTTACCAGACACTCTTACTCCTTGTTGTCTGGCCCCTATGCAACAGACTGTCTTGTGTCGGACATCTAGTGGACTTACGCAAGTATTTCTCCATGTATCACGTCTAGTGGTATGGCTGAATTCCAGGCCACTTGCTAGTCCATGAACCTTCAACAAAGATCCTGCACCTTTGGCTTTCCATGTGCACCTAAGCCTCCAACCATAATTCCTAAGCCCTAAACATATCCCGTATCATTAATATTCCAATTAGCAATTACTACTTAGTATCGCTGATCTGGCGCCTCTCCCCCTTGCTGGATGCCCAGCACTCCGTGGGCTCTTCCTCCGCCGTCGCCTTTGCTGAAAAAAGTGTTTATGTTTGTGGTGTTCGAGCGGAGGAAGTTGAGGTCATACAATTTGGTACGAGTAGCATTTACAGGCACCATTCAGCCGTTGGTCGAGAAAATCAATAGGAGAACTGTAGAACAGAGATACGAGGTTTCTCAAAATGAGCTTCAGCATACGTTGTCATTTCGCCACGAAGGGCTTGGCTACTTTCAGAACCAAGTTGCGTGACCCATCTGTCCCAACACTAAACACCTGGTTATGATGCTGAACATTTAAAAGGGAGAACACACTGTCGTACACTTGCCGCTGCTTGATGGGGGAGTGAGCCTGGGTGCCCGTCTGCAGGTTTATGGACTCACTCCACTTCTTCTTCATCACAGCGAGGCAAGGATGGGCTACGTGAGCATTGCGATCCTGACTTCTTGACTTATTCTCTCGTGCTGCGACTTTGGTTTCCTGTCTTCAGCGTTGGTGATCCTGATCAACGACCGTCACGGTGCTGCTGAAGGACTCTAGTACCGACACTCCACAGCAGAAGATCGTTTATCCGAGGTTGGACATTTCAAACCCAACCAACAATACTAGAAAATCTATTGCTGCGCGATCTCAGGCGGAACTACATGATGCATCTTTGCCTGCACAAACCCTGGGCCTTCAAGACCCTCATTTTCCGACGGAACCCAGATTAGAGTAATCGAGGAACCTATGTTCAGTACTATAACCTTGTTCAGAGACTGGAGAAGGGTCTGGGTTTCGGGTGTAGTGTTCAAAAATACTCACAGCTCGAAATCTTGTTGGGTTTAGGGTTTGGGTTTGGGGCTTAGAATTTAGGGTCTAAGGTTTGCTGGCACAACGTCAAAGTGGTAATTTTCCACGCGGCTGCGCATTGAAGGAGGCTTGTCTGGACTAGAGGCGGCATGTGACGCCTGTACCACAAGTGGGAGTCAAAGTAATTACCTTACCTAAAGTCAAAGTACCGAACTACTATATAACCTGGGACCAAGTGGTAGTTTCCGTAAAAAGGGGACGCCAATATCAACCCCGATATATTACAAGCCTTATTATGGAAATCCGAAAAACGACCTTATTTCCAGAAATCCCCGTTCTTGTGTACTTTCGAGGTATTTGGAACCTTACGGACACGTCACCACGTTTAGGGTTTCGGGTTTAGGGCTTTGATTTCCAGACCCCGCATTCTGACGGCTAGTTCATAGCAAGGGGATTTTGACAGTGGGAAGTCAAAATACGTTCCGAATGTTGTTCCCAATCTATCTGCCGGAGACCCTCTTCCCTCAGAACCCTGATGCCCTTAAAGCCTGAACCCCTACCCACCCTTACCCACCCTAAACCTTGAGCACTCTGGGAGGAGTACCTTGCCACTTGCTAGCAGGGAATGAAGGAACTTGTATGCTTTAAAAACTGTGTAACCTGTTGTTGATCTGAAACCACCATACTTTGCTACTGGAACCTTTGCTGTATGTAGGGTTAGGGGTCACCCTTCTCTTCCACTTGTCTTCAGGAAGCAGTTACGCATGGTCAGGCTAACTTGAGAGAGCTATTCTGATCTTCCTGGAAGCTCCCGTCTTTTTAAAACAGTAATTATCAGTAATCATCCGAATACTTTTGTTGTGCCCTGCAGGCCCCAAAATTCCAGGCTACGACCCCAAGCCCTAAAAACGCATGACATCAAGAACCCTACACTTCAAGACCCATCAAAGAACAGCAGGGCCTGATGAGGAACTCTGAACCCTACATAACACCCTACATCTCAGCAACAGGCTGGTGGATTGTATGAAGTACTTAGCCTTATTATACTCATCATACGGCCTTGAATCATTGGGATACCTCCTTAGATCAGTGTACAAGACTTCACAAGCAACTATTACCACGTGTCGGGCTCAAACCCGAAAGCTGCAGAACTTGCTTTGCTGACCATAAGTTTGGGTGCTCCCCAGAACCAGAGAATAAACTCAACCCTAAGCCCTTAGATTACGCGCGCTCACTAAGCCCGAAATCCTAAGCCGCCGGGGTGTCTGGTTCACCCGCAGAGATTTTCTGCAACAGCTCTGACAGCATCTCAATATCGCCATCCTGCATGTGATGTTCTAGGGTCATGAGGTCTCAGGTCGCGGGTTAAGTTTTTGGGTTCGGGTTTCAGGTCTATAGGGTGTAGGCTTTGGGCTTGAGGGTTGGGGTTCAGTGCTGAGGGTTGAGGGTGGTTCGCCTTGAGGCGTACAGCTTCGTGTGAGAGAGGTTTGGATCCTCATCCCCAGCCCCTAAACCAATCTCGCATGCCTGAATCATCTGTGTCTTCTCTTGGTTTTGGGTGTTCCGTTGATCTGGTCCACACCTTGGGCTCAAGGCCCTGGTGCTTCGAGGTCCGCAACCCTAATCTCTACAAAACCTACGTGGCCTCCACGAGGATCAACCGCCCACTACCTCGAAAGCAGAGACCAAAATATTAGATCCTCAACCCCAAAAGGTCCAAAAGCCTTGATGCCCCCAAACCTTTAAACTTTAAACCCCAGTTCTTAAACGCCGCCAAACCACCAAGCTTGCAGTCCCTGAAGCCCTGTAATCCTAAAACCGCACAGCTTCAGCATGGGTGCATAATGTAAATACACAGGGATTACGGAAAACGCCACCAATCCTGTAGGCTGCAAGCTCATCAACGTAAACCCATATTTAACTATGATTACTACTAGTACTTCTCTTCATGCTCACTTCAAGTTCTACTCTTTCCACCATACACGATTGCTACCTTTTTAGTGTTTTCTATTAGGTTAGGATGTTGGCTAGATGAAGTTTCAGGCTTCCGGTCACATGCCAAGGCTCCTACACATCGCTTTCTCGAGGGGCTGGGAAACAGAACTAGTAGCGGTACTTACCACGAAAGGTACTGGGCTTATTAAACTCGTTAGCTAACCCGCCTTGTCCACCCAAAACCCTAAACACCTTAACCCTAAATCTCAGACCCTATACCCTCACACCTGAAGTTGCTTCCAGGTTTTTGTGGTAAGCTCCAGGTAGATAAAGCAGGGCCTGCTTGTGGTATGTGCATTTTGGTCCTTGATTGCTGCGTCGACGTCTGCTTTGGCGTCGATCAGGCATCGAGCCACCTTTGAGTGACCGTGGGTCTCCTTTATGGGGTCTCCAGTTAGGAACCTTATGCACAACAGGTCCCGGCAAACTGACCAAATGGCCTTGAGGAAGTTTGGGGCAATGCGGTGACAGATGGCGCTGACCCTCAAGAGGTAGATCTGCACGTGACTTAAGATAGATGATCTTTTGGATGACTTCCTGAATCGTAGCTCATATGTACATGTGAATACTGTCTGTATGACAAGACAGTTTTAGATTCTGCCAAGCTTTGGTTCAGGATTTAACGCTCCGACAGCAAACTTTAGAACATCTCATGCGCTCTTTGTTTAGAGCACCTGCTACACAACTCCTGTTCAGAATGCGAAGAAGAGCACAAAATCCCCGGCGTACATGGAAACGTCTCCGTGTGAATACTTGCCTCTCTTTTCCTGCAAAGGCCGCAGCGGATACACTTAGTTGGAGGACCTTATGACAAGACTTTCTTGCTTTGAGAGCATGTCAAGGGACCCTATGTGCTAGACAGGTCGCATCATGAGTAAATTTTTGGCGCAAGCCGCGGGAACCCCGGTAGGCGTTCAGGGCTTGCTAAGGAAAACTACTCTTTGCAAGCGCTCATGCTGACCCTACACTACTCCAAAGTGTGTAGGACTTATAGTTTTTAGACTGAAAAGGATCGATGAACATGCGCAAGCTGCCTCCATGTGGCCCTTAAGCGATGCAATGCGCAGACCTCAGTTCTCGAGCTTTGGGTTTGTTACACCCGGTTGCGGATTAGTTTGTGACAGCGTTTGGGCTCGAAGGATTTCCCTCCGTAGATGAGTATCATATTAGTCGTCAAACATCTGGCTTGCTACCCTTCCTACGCTGGGAACAAGAGTTTATGCAAAGGGTTCCTCGCCTCAGGATACTAGGAGCCGATACAAGGATGGAGAGCGGCTACCCATTACACACACAACCCGGCTTCTAGGGTACGAAACAGCAGATGCATGACCACACAACTCTCGCGCAAGCATCCGTGCCAACACAAGCGTAAGAAAGCTCAGCAGTGATTGTCGGTGCAAGTTCATCACAGCCAGCTTCGACACTGTAATGGAGCCATAGACCAACAAAAAAGAACCAAAATCAGCTTTCCTGAAACACGGCTTCTGGCAAAGGAAAGCGTTTAGTCCACGCTGCCATTACTATGCCTAAACAACCGTTGCAAGAATGCGGCTGCGGGTTTAGGCCTTCTAGGCTCAAACCCTAAGCCGCAAGGAATCACAACGCTGGAGAACTTAGAACAATGACGTTGGACTGGATTTAAGGTGGTGGATTCAGGTGTCAGAGACTTCTTCAGAACTATCACTCTGGACATATCGCCTTGTTGCCCTACAACCCACCCCTCAAGAGGGAATCCTAATTTTCGCCAGGCCCCAGCAAAGAGACAAGGAAAAGGGTAAAGGTTGCTACGCACTCAAAAGCAAGCATCACTGGTACGGGTAGAGGAGGTTGGGTTCTGGGTACCTAGCGTTTCAGGGTTCAGCCAGAATGATTACCAATACACCCCGTTTATTGTAACGATGAAAAATTTCTGAACTCAACCTCGAAATGGGCTGAGGCATCCGGCTTTGACATGTACGGGTCGAGCTAGAGTGTAGGATTTGGCTAGGTTCTGACCCCTGAGATTCACCATGACAACACAGCAACTGAAAACTCTTCAATGGATTTGACTATGCGTTCATCGGAGTATCTATCTATCTACCAACCCACCCATCCCTCCCTCCATCCATCCATCCTTCCATCCATCAATCCAGTCCGTTGGTGATGGCATACATGTAGTGAAGTAACCGACCAAGGAAAAGTATTCTCAAAACAAACTCGCAACCGGGGCTCACTGCTTCTTATAACTTCCCCATTCAAACATGA